GTGAACCTATAATATCTTTAAAACACAGGGAGAGCAGAACTTCTGGAAAAATTATAGGAGAACCATCTTCTACACAAAGAAACATCACAAATTCATGTTTGTATGAAATGCTGTGACAATATCTGTTTTAGAGACATTGCAGAGAAGCTGACACCAGAAATCATAGTCAAACTAATATAAAAGTTTATAGTAATTTTGTATATGTTGTAAACACTCCCATAACATGCTGGGAACAGATGTGCTGGAAGACACCTGGAAGCAGTAGGCAAATAATTAGAATGCTGTACCACCCAAAAAACCTAGCATTAAAAAAAAAAATTCAACCAACTTTGCATATGTAGGATTAACCGAATTTAGTTGACCATCAGAAAAAAAATTAAGGTCTTAGAGCATACCTTAAAATGATCAAAACCTGAGGAAATGTATATCTTTCTTTGGTGTGTATTGCCTTACTAAGTACATTTCCTACTTACAAGGTTTATTTTTGGAAGCGCTTCTAGCATGAAGGGTGATGAACTGAAGATGCATAGCGCTAAATGAATGCAATGCCAGCAAGACACATCATAAGCAGCAGCGCAAAAGCGTCCGTAATTTGCTGGCCTGAATGGGTCTACAATGGATCTTCAAAAGGCTGGTGCTTTCTAAGAGGCCAGGCTGCTAACAGAAGATTTTCTGGATGTTTTACAGTAACAAAGTAGTGGCGTCTATCTCCCTTACGGAGACCTCACAGCTCAGCTACGCAGACCCAGCGGGATGTCTCAGGATCACACCTCTGATCCTCCACCAGAGCAGATCAGGAACTAACTCAGCATACGCATTAGGAAGGTTCACTCCTGCTACCTCGGCAATAGCACTTGGACATTGCAAATTTGCCCGTGCGTTAGCCCAGAGGCATCTTTTTCAGGATGGAAGGCATCTCCCACCGGAGTCAGGTAGGCGTTCGCAAGCTGAATGCAGCAGACAGACCAGAGCATTCCCCATTTCTTGCCATGCAGCTCCCTGTCTGCGCCCACCCAAGAGAACCCCACAGAAAACCCTCCGAGTAATTTAAAACGTGCATTGACAGGAGCAAGTAAAGTCAGAGTGCTAGACCCAGAACAGGGTGCCCTAAAGCTCGCCCTGAGGCAGAGGTGAGCCCGGCCAGGGCTGCCAGGCTCCCGTCCTGCGGCTGGTGAGCCCGTCCCAGGCCCCCGCTGCCGTCCTGCGTCCCCACGCCAGCAGCCTGCTGGGCAAGCACCGCCGGGGCAGCTGTCCTTAACGGGACAATGAGCAAAGCCTGCACCTACAGCATCCGAACTGGGACAACGCAGCCATCCGTTGAGAGACCACTGGATCGAGCCATTGATTAGGTGTGCGGGTAACGAAATAACGAGGCGATGTTTATCCTTCAGCCTGTTGATGCAGTGAGCCAGAGTGGTGATTCGCCAGGGATTTAGCTCCAAAACAAACTTCTGAGGCTTATTACTACAGCAATACCAAACCTTTATAATTAACACTTAGTAGCATTTACACTTCTGTATGTTTATTTTGAGGTAAACGGTGGCTGAGGGCTTTAGCCTGTCCCGAGGAGAGGGTGGCATCAAGCACGCCTTACGAGATCTCGCAGCCAAAGCCAAGATGCGGTGCCACTGGCCGAGACCTGGCGAAGTGACCCGATGTCCTCAGTGCCGGGCACACACCCAGAGCGTACAAATGTCTGAGACTTCGGGGAAAAAACTTGGGGTTCCAGGCCCTCTCGTGCTCCCTGTATTTTGAATCACACACCAGCCCACGAAAACGAGACTAAAATGAAACCTTATCATTGGCCCTTTTCAGGCTGAGGACAACTTTAAAATGCTATAAATGGATGAGCTGTAGGTATTTCTCCGAACATCATCATGCTAAGCTACAAATTATGCTCAAACTGTAATTCATATCTACTATAAAACAACTGTATTTGCTATGCTTGTTATGCTACAGACGTCCTATTTCTTTCTTGCCAGTTTATCCCTCCGGACAACACACTTGTTAATGCACACACGGATCTCAGAATTGCCAGAAGCCTTTACCTGTTTTATTGATCCCCCCCTGGATTACTCCAACAACAGTAAAGCAGATTTTCCTAGCAAGGAAATCAATATGACTTTAGATTAAGGTTCTCATAAAATGTTTAATAAATTATATATTAATGATTTATTGTCTATTAATTATGAATTAATAAGCACAACATTTTTGGCATCTGATTTAGCACACTGCACTTCAGTGTCTGGACTCCACCTATGAAACAGCTCTCTGATTCTCCCTTTCAATGGCTTAATTGAGAAATCCTTTAGAAATATACTTTATTCTTTGTGGTTGGTATAAGCACAGCCTACGTTTCCATAACACATGTACTGTGCGTAGCATCTTAGTGTCCAAACGTTCAGCACACTGTGGTCTCAAGAGGGAATTCAAAAGGTCAGCAAGAAAAGCAGAGATAAATTTAGTAATATATACAAAGATGACAGGTCAATGGATTAACCCTTAGAATTCCTAGTATTAACTACACTGCTGAATAGTCGAAAGAATGGTTAATAGCGGTTTGCATAGGTGTTTAAAATGCCCGAAGGGACCAGGACATTTTCTGGAGCGTGCGGTTCCTACGTGAGCACAGGCTAACTCTCTGGCTGGCACTGAGCCTTAGGTAAGCATCACCTTTGGCCGTTTTGTTCCTGTTCTGCCACTGCCAGTTGTGCACGGCCTTGGTCAAGGCACTCTGCCCTCTGCCAGCTCTGGAAAAATGGCACAGCTGAGAAACACCATTGATAAAGTAGCTTGTGAAGTGATTTGGGACTGGATCTCATATACAATCAAACCAGTAATTCCTGCTAGAGGTGGTCTGTAACTCTGCCCTTCCAAATTATACCTTAGAAACTGGTCTGTCTCCTAGGAGCCTAGACTTTAGCGTCAAAACAGAGTGCTACGTGCTTACTATTGATTCATTCGTGCCTGTTCTGGTGTTAAGATGCTGCCAAAGGCACACTGCCTGTTCTATCGCTTCTGCGTAGTAAACTGCACGAGACAACCATTTCTGGAATCTTTTGGATCTTCTGACATACCAGTTTGTAAACTGTACCAAATGCAGAAAATACGAAACAAACTTAATGTGACTTTAACTGTGCATATGTAAACTACAAGTGGAAGTTTCTGGATCAACTTTAATTATGTTTACTTAATGTCGCAAAGTAGCTGGGTGAAGTTCTGGTTAATGGCGTATGCTACTTCTCAAAAAAAGGAACGGAAAATATGTATTATTCTAATGCTTTTTACACTCACACATGCACGCACCTGATCTAGGAAGAATGGGTAAACGAATTTGACTCACCTTCAAATTACACCTTGTGTGCTCATATGCAACAACATTAATTGACATTGGTAAGGCATTCATAAGATGAAAAGTACTACGTCAGGACTAAGAATTACCTGTACTCTTACTACCTGTTGCACAGTTCACTCAGTATGCATCATCTATGGTTAGTGACATTATTTTGTTAGAAGTGGATCGCTTTGAAACTCACCGATATAAATGTAGGAATCTTAATCTATTGGTAATAAAGAAAGCATTCTCTGCAGTTTCAATCCTGCAGACTGCTAGGCAGTTAGTAAGTTGGGAAGAACTTATGGTGCCCTTCACCAATACTGGGTGTAGGAGATAATCCTGCTGCAGCAGGATTGATAGAGGTGTTCTCAGACAGAGGCATTCTCAATAATACTACTGCACCACGAGCGAATAAAAAACAAACAGGCCTAATTATTTCAGAAACAAGTGATCTATAAACATTGATGATAACTATGGTAACTGCAGTGTAGCAGAGCAGGATTTAGTCCTTAACACATGCAGTATGAAGCTGCATCTTCTGAATCAGTGACACGAATTTAATTTCAATTGTGCTTTAAGTTTGTTGGTTAAATGATTGCAATGCATAAAGGATTCAAAGAAGGAAGTTATTCGCTACATACGCCGTGCTGTAATGTCAAACGCCTGTTTTTCAACAGATGAAGGACTAATCATCAGGTAAGGAAGGAGAACGGCGCCACACCTGCATGAGGGGCAGCCAGCCTTTGACACACAGGCCACTTACTTCCCACTGCTTGATTTACAAAATAAAAGCTTTTGGTTTAGAAGATACATGCCTATCCTCAAGGACACCAAAAAGACACTACAGTATCTCTGAGAATTAAAGTAGGAAAACCATGAGATTAAATTGGTTTTCAACCTGGAAATTATTTCTGACCCCATGTTACCTGGAGCTGAGCTTTAGCAGTAAAGTCAAGGTAATCTCAACCTATGATGAAAAAGGTTTACTGCATTCTTTTCGGCTTTATACAAATCTTCCAGTCACCCTCCCACACGGAGATGCTACTGTCACAAATGCCTGCTTGCATTTTTCAAGCGTGGAGTTCTGTCACAGACATCTAGGAAATGTCTCTCTTTTTTCCCCACAGAGGAGAAACATAACCCAGCACTTCCTCCACTTGCAGTCAATGACTGTGAGATTCACTGTGAGCTATGGCGAAAGTCACAAACATGCAACAGGAATGCGGTATCCTGTGCTGAAGCCCGAAGAGATTTCAAAGGCGGGATCTGTATGCCTGCCAACGGCAGAGACTCCTGCAGGCACTGTGAAGACTCCAGGTCTCGTCTCAGATGAGTACCCACATTTTCTCCTTTCTATACGCAAGACCGTGAACAGGTGGATGGACTCTGCGGTCCACTGGCATCTACGGCCGAAGTCCACTTTACACACTACCACTGGGAAGAAATGCAGCATGTCAGCTGCGTTTTTCTGAAGTGCTGCAGCAGATTCACAATAGCGGCTTTTAGTTACCTGTCAGACGTTCCTGTTAAAAGTATTCTTAGCCAAGTCTGATGTCAATATTAAGACTAGTTTGTTAAGTCACTTTTACCTTCTCCACAGGAAAAAATATTTGAGAAATAAAACCTGGTAGGGTCTACATCAGAAGAAAAATAAAAGTCCTACCTCTACTACTGCTTTGGCATCCAGTCTAAAGTTGAAATCTCCAAAGACAAAATACGAAACTTTCTCAAACCGCTGATCTATAATTCTGGAAAAAAAACAAAACAAAACAAACCTGTCATTCAGCTTTACATATATGCGAGGATGCACAAATACACATATCTTATCTTCCAAGCACAGTCTCAGAAATAATTATTGGAACAATCAAAACTACCAATTTATACCGGAACAATATATTAACCATGTTTTGGGGCTGATTTTCTTTGCTTAGGCAATTCTACCTCCAACCCCAGTAAAATAATGCATTTGATTTCCCCTGTCTGGCTGAAAGAGCAATTTGGAGGAAAGCAAGCTTGCAGCAGTTAGTACAAATAACGCAGAACCGGCACTTGGGCATCACAGAAATCTTGAGGGCATCACGGAGGTACTCCACACCTTTGGAAGTTTAAGTAGATGGCTTTGGGCTGGGCAGCTAAGAATTACGAACCCCAAGGTAGTGGCAAGTTCAGAACACGTCTACCTTTGAGTTTACTTAACCGTAAGATTGGGAGCGTAATGTTTACCAGTGTTAGTCAGGACTCTGAGAACTATATGAAAAGTGACATGTTAGGGCTAAACGTTAATCATCACAGCTGATGGAGAGCGATCTACGAGGTTTTTCCTGGCTCAGTTATAGTTCTCTGAAAGACAGTTCTCTTTTTTTGTTCAAAGCAGATTTTTACTGAGGTTGTAGCTAACACCTACGAGGTGATCCTTCCAGATGTGGGGAAAAGACAGACTTTTTTCTCAAGCCTTTGCTCAGTACTAAACAGGGAGATAAGGCATTACTGTTCATCTTTCAAATCTTGTATTATTAAAAATTGTTATTATATTATTAGCTTATCTATTATTAACAACAATTGTCTGGTACTCCTAACAATGTGCAATTTTACATGCTTCCCGAGATCCTAGCATTTGGAAATCCACTGATTCACGCTTAATTTCAAGACAGGAATCAACACAATTAATTTCCTATCAGCAGCTGAGGAAGGTATGCAATACCTGAAATGCGACTGCTACAGCTACAAAGAATACACACAGACAAAACGCACAAACAACTGCAATGGTATACTAGATGTACAATATAGAATAAAAAAAGGAACAAATGCAAAGCCATACACTATGTACATTCTGGGAATATATAAATACGTGTTGCGATGCCAGAAGCCCCAGCTGAGCCAGAGGAAGGGACCCATACAGACAGGTAAAGGATTATAAAGCAATGCACAGTAAGTAAGGCTTCTTGGAACAATACTGCCCAGCAAGGAGGCATTCATTTCAAATGGCTTTGAAAGTTTTAATATATTACATCCATTTGGACTTTTCAAAGCTATAAAGAAAGATACAACATTGGATTTACAGTGAGATACTGCTTCTCCTCTTAAAAACATCTCACATTTTTAGTCAACAGTAATCTACTACATAAGGAATATTATTCTATTGAAAAATTAATGTGCATTGGACCTCAGGCAGTGATCATTTGAAGCAAAATCTCCTGCAAAGACTTATCCTTTTCTGGTAGGAAAATCTCCAAATCCTCCATTCAGCTGACAAATTATTGCAGGTACTGTTAATAAATACTGTCTACTGTCAGCTCCCAGCAAGCACTGAGAAAAACCTGTCACTCTTGACCTGTACATAACATTAGTTTGATTAGTGCCCTCATGGCACATTAAAGGAAAATGAGAACTTAAAAGTTAAACCATTCACATTACCACAATTTGCTAACACTATCATTGCAAAATCTGATATGCAACTTATACGTAAGAAAAACTGATTCTGCTTTGCCAACTTTCCTGATTCATATCTTAGTTTTGGCTTTGCTCGTTGCCATTTACTGCTGACAAAGAAATGACAGATATTGCAGGAATGACATCAAGGTCTAGAGAAGGCCTCTTAAAACAAATTGATATTATGAGAATGATGCCTGTGATTGTATTATGCAAAGACGGATTTTCCAAATAAACAGACTATTCCAAAAATAGCCAGTTAAAATGTCTCCTAACCGATGAACAAAACAGCTGATTAGTCTGCTTCTGATCAATTAATTAAAATTCAGTCATTTCATAGTCTCGCACATTACCCGATTTAAACACGATTTGCATACAAATCAATGCCAGCTTTAAAACTGATCATTTTAACCAGTTGCTCCCCTTGTAGTTTGTCTTGAGGGATGTTTTATAAAGAGTGTCTCATGACAGACTGAAGTAAAATAGTCCAAATGCTACTTCTCAAGAATGATGCTTTAAGTGGCTTCTGACATATCTCCTTTTCACAGGTGGTGAAATGTAGGTGTACAGTAAAATTACTAACAGTGGTACAGCAAGGGATATACACATTTCTGTACTTATTAAACGATCTAGGATACCTAGTAATAAAATATGCTTTAAATGACTCTACTTAATACATGTATGTAACCTACTGTCCTTGCCTTTGGAACTTATTATTAGTTCCAGAGTTCCCAAATCTCAGCATTATTTCAGCAATTTGGTACTCCGATAGCTCCGTTTTGAAATACTTACTGCTGCCTACATTTGCGCTGCAGCAATGGCACAAGAACTAATCTTCTTGATTGTGCTTTTAGAATCAGACTCCAAGTTAGCAAAGGGGATGGCAATAAAGAAGAGTACAGCAATATTTCCTCCCGCAGGAACATGCAGGAAAAACATCCGGCACCGGGGGGGCTCGGACAGAGATCGAGCACTGCAAAACACCGAGTCTCGCCAGGACCAAGGACACACAGTGAAGGTGTTAGGACTGGAGCAAGAGCTAAACAAAAGTGTTCCATTCCTCTTGCTTCTGTGTTCTAAGCCACAAATACATACAGTTCATCATGTGTGAGAATGAGAACTCAGAAGGCAATTTTTTTTTTTAACAAGAATGAGTGTTTGCAAATGAACTAGGAAGGCTTCAAAATCGGCATTATTCTACTTTTCTATTTGTTTCTATAACAATACCCTTCCTTTAACCATGAATCAAATAATCCTTTAGAAATGTTGCCATGAATCAGTCAATGGAGTGATGAATCTGAATCATATAAAAAGAAAGCAGCCAACCTATGTCACCACCATTAATCTTATGTTTTTAGTGGGAGGACCTAGTGCCATTTCCTTTAACTTGTACTTGCTGACTACCAGATTATCCCAAAGGGCTTCAACATACTTTAAGGCTCTGTTCTTTCTTGTACAACTTTTCTAAACAGCTTGTGACAAAATAGGCGACTCAGGTAAAAATGTCATGACTGTAGAGAAGCTACAAATATTTCACTTCCACAACTCTATATGCAAGAGCTAACAAAAACCCAGCAATGCCTTAACTAGCTGTGCTGCCTGTTGCGACCTCTGCAGGGCTATCAAGAGAGGATGGGCAATCAGGATCCATCCAGTGCTTGAATGCAAATAAACCAGCAAACTTTTCAAACAGATTGCAGCCCTTCCTTTCCAGAAAGAGAAGTCTTCCCATTGAAAAGGTTGGAAGAAGGCGCTCGCTCTTCTGATCCTTTGTTCTTGCTCCAGAAGGTATCACTTATGAGAAAAGAGTTTATCTGCACTTAGAACATACCAAAGAAATATCTTTTACTTCTGCGCATTTTGGAAATCAAAATAACAAATTCAATATGGGAAATAAGGACCACTGGAAAACATGCATGCTTATGACTGGGTTTATTGATGACCTTGTTAAACTTTAAAGCACACAAATAAATATAAATGCCATAGATGATTTCTTTTCTACTACTTCCACAAACACAGAACTTTTAATTGCATAGAGAGTCCTTGATAATGGTATTAGATTCTTCACACTTGGAACGCATTACCTGAATTATTTTGCCAGTTTCAAACTAGTTCTACATTTTTAACTGATGGCTCTATACTGCCAGTCTTCCAGGCTGGCTGGGCTGTTCTCGGTGTCTTTTCCATTTTCTTTTGTATTTTGAGAAGAGGCAGACCGCAAACAGTTTTTGAAATAGAGCTGAACAGCTTTTTAGACATGACAGGACAGTAAAAGAAGGAAACACTTAAGCAACTATAACTTTCAAGTAAAGTTTAGAGTCAAGTTAGTCACATGCTTAAGTGTTTTGATGATTCAGGTCCATGGTTCACACTTTTTTTTTAAGGAGCAAACTTCACCGGTAAGGGTGCAAATTGATGTTAAATTACTATAGCAATTTCTTTGCTGCAAAATAAATACATTTAATTCTTATTTTGGTCTAACAACTGCAGGTTGCCTCACACTGGATATCAGCAACTGCTTTACAAACCCGGAAAGAAGTTACTGTGCCTGCACTGGAAATGCACTTGCTCTGCCGTGTCGGCAAGACGTCTAGCAAAACCACCTCCGCTCATCAGTGCTTTTTAGCACGGCAGTCCCCGACACACCTTCCCAAAGACCTGCGACAACAACTGTTATTCTGGGTGCATCAGGAGAATTACAAGAAACCTCTGAAATCCTCTGAGCTCTGACGCTGAATAGCTTTAGCTTGAGCCAGGCTGGCCTGCCTGGGACGAAAGCGTTCCCCAGTTCAGAGCAGGGGCCGGCCGGACACGTGCGACAGGCAAACCTACAGAGCAGTCCAACAAATGCCCCGGTAGGAGCAAATGCTCAGGGTTTGGTCTTGGAGCCTAGGATACGTCAAATTACTTTGACGTAAAGACAGACCTCTCGGCCTGGATGGCAGCGTCAGCTAATGGATTGTGAAGCCCAAGTTTTTTCAAAGCCGTTTTAGGAGATCTGGATGCCATATTCATACCAAGACTAAAATGATAAGAGGTAGAGGTTCCTCTTCTCCTCGATACTACTGGAAATCTGTGTCTAGTTATTAATTTTAGTCTCTACACAGAATACCAACAGCAATAGCTTAGTGTAATCTTAAAATGAACAATTCCATGTTATTGGAATCACTGAAATCCTTTTGTAACTTACTTTATTTTAAAGTACTCATTATAGCAGTTACAATTAAAGATACTTTATGAAATGCATCCTCTTTTACAAAAGCTATATGGTGCACTGTATATACGTTCCAAAGCACTGAAAGTCAGCCAGAAAATAATA